CATGTAGCTGTAAGAGTTGTTGCCTTGGAGGCCTGCGGGAGCGTTGGAAGCGTTTGGGGGGTTTGCGGGAGGGTTGGAAGCGTTTGGGGGGTTGGAAGGCGGGCAAACGGCAGTCTTGAACCCCCTGAAAAACAGATGGCAGGGGCATGTAGGAGCTGTAAGAGTTGTTGCCTTGGAGGCCTGCGGAATGGAAGCGTTTGGACCGGGTTGAGGACGCGGCAAACGGTTAGTCTTGAATTTTTTTTAAACGTCATGAAAAACAGTGGGCAGGGGGCATGTAGGTGTAAGAGTTCGGCAGGAGCATATTGTTAGATGGTCTGGGCAGGGAGCTGACAGGAGGTGTTGCCTTGATGCGTGTTGTTGCACATATGCTTGCGCACGGCAGTTCTTGAACCCCCTGAAAAACGATGGGCAGGGACATGTAGCTGTAAGAGTTGTTGCCGTGGAGGGCCCTGCGGAGCGTTTGGAAAAGCGTTTGGGGGGTTGAGGGGCGGCACCAAAACGCAGTCTTGAACCCCCTGAAAAACAGATGGCAGGGACATGTAGCTGTAAGAGTTGTTGCCTTGGAGGCCTGCGGGAGCGTTGGAAGCGTTTGGGGGGTTTGAGGGCGGGCAAACGGCAGTCTTGAACCCCCTGAAAAACAGATGGCAGGGGCATGTAGTAGCTGTAAGAGTTGTTGCCTTGGAGGCGTGCGGCTGTAAGAGTTGTTGCCTTGGAGGCCTGCGAGAGGGTTGGAAGCGTTTGGAGGGTTTGAGGACATGTAGCTGTAAGAGTTGTTGCCTTGGAGGCCTGCGGGAGCGTTGGAAGCGTTTGGGGGGTTTGCGGGAGGGTTGGAAGCGTTTGGGGGGTTGGAAGGCGGGCAAACGGCAGTCTTGAACCCCCTGAAAAACAGATGGCAGGGGCATGTAGGAGCTGTAAGAGTTGTTGCCTTGGAGGCCTGCGGAAGCGTTTGGAGGGTTTGAGGCCGGGCAAACGGTAGTCTTGAACGTCCTGAAAAACAGGTGGCAGGGGCATGTAGGTGTAAGAGTTCGGCAGGAGCATGTAGATGGCTGGGCATGTAGCTGACAGAGGTGTTGCCTTGATGGCGTGTGCCTTTGCTTGCGACGGCAGTCTTGAACCCCCTGAAAAACAGATGGCAGGGACATGTAGCTGTAAGAGTTGTTGCCTTGGAGGCCTGCGGGAGCGTTGGAAGCGTTTGGGGGGTTTGAGGGCGGGCAAACGGCAGTTTTGAACCGCCTGAAAAACAGATGGCAGGGGCATGTAGCTGTAAGAGTTGTTGCCTTGGAGGCCTGCGGGAGGGTTAGAAGCGTTTGGGGGGTTTGAGGCCGGGCAAACGGCAGTCTTGAACCCCGTGAAAAACAGATGGCAGGGGCATGTAGCTGTAAGAGTTGTTGCCTTGGAGGCCTGCGGGAGCGTTTGGAGGGTGTGAGGGCGGGCTTGAACCCCTTGAACAACAGATGGCAGGGGCATGTATGTAGCTGTGGGGGTTGTTGCCTTGGAAGCCTGCGGAAGCGTTTGGAGGGTTTGAGGCCAGGCAAACGGCAGTCTTGAACCCCCTGAAAAACAGATGGCAGGGGCATGTAGTAGCTGTAAGAGTTGTTGCCTTGGAGGCCTGCGGGAGGGTTGGAAGCGTTTGGGGGGTTTGAGGGCGGGCAAACGGCAGTCTTGAACCCCCTGAAAAACAGATGGCAGGGGCATGTAGCTGTAAGAGTTGTTGCCTTGGAGGCTTGCGGAAGGGTTGGAAGCGTTTGGGGGGTTTGAGGGCGGGCAAACGGCAGTCTTGAACCCCCTGAAAAACAGATGGCAGGGGCATGTAGCTGTAAGAGTTGTTGCCTTGGAGGCCTGCGAGAGGGTTGGAAGCGTTTGGAGGGTTTGAGGACATGTAGCTGTAAGAGTTGTTGCCTTGGAGGCCTGCGGGAGCGTTGGAAGCGTTTGGGGGGTTTGAGGGCGGGCAAACGGCAGTCTTGAACCCCTGAAAAACAGATGGCAGGGCCTGGGAGGCCTGCGAGAGGGTTGGAAGCGTTTGGAGGGTTTGAGGACATGTAGCTGTAAGAGTTGTTGCCTTGGAGGCCTGCCGGAGCGTTGGAAGCGTTTGGGGGGTTTGAGGGCGGGCAAACGGCAGTCTTGAACCCCCTGAAAAACAGATGGCAGGGGCATGTAGGTGTAAGAGTTGTTGCCTTGGAGGCCTGCGGAAGCGTTTGGAGGGTTTGAGGGCGGGCAAACGGCAGTCTTGAACGTCCTGAAAAACAGATGGCAGGGGTATGTAGGTGTAAGAGTTCGGCAGGAGCATGTAGATATGGCTGGGGCATGTAGCTGACAGAGGTGTTGCCTTGATGGCGTGTGCCTTTGCTTGCGACCCGAGAGCCAAGTTCCACACCTCCGGTGGTCCCAGGCGCCCTCCCTGCCTTGGCAAAGGCCGGGGTCGGCGGATATCGCATGAAGTTACACTTCCTTGCCGATTTTTGTCGTCGCGGGCTACAATCCATTCTGTAGCCAGTCAGGTAGGCTTTGCAGGTCGCAGTGCTGTTGCTGAGGCGACTTCGCCAGATCCAAAGACAAAGGTCTCCTCTGCAGGGTTTGGACGGCTTTGGCGTTGATACCATTCAGCAAGTTACTCTTTATACGGATTTATATACGGATTTATACGCATACAAATCCAGAAGACCCTGAGATTTTGGACCATGTTGGACAACAACCTCGGTACATCCCACCTGAACCGCAGTTTTTCCAAAGAATGAGGTGTTCCGTGAGTTTTTTGCATTTTGCACACCTTCGCCTTTGCTTGTGCCCGAAGGTGGAATTGATATGTCGCCGTTTGACCAACCTCGAACGGTTTCGACTTTGAAATCGAGTGGAGGAGGTGGGAGACGAAAACAGAGCAGGGATAACATTGTTATAACATGCCTACTTACACCCAAAAATCTTGCCTGCATCCACAACTACAGCTCCTTACATACACACATTCAGGTAGAAATCCATGGGTCCATACATCAAGACATGCACTCGCATCCAAACATATATACATGAAGATACGCATGCAGACAAACCACTGCACTCATTTTCATTGAGTGTCTGACCTTCTATCATAACTTCGGGGGTTATCTCAATCTGCCTGTGCCTGAAGGTGGCATTGATATGTCACCGTTTGACCAACCACGGTCACGATCAAATTCGAAGTCAAGTGGCGGTGGGAGACTAAGTTGAAACTCCAAACTTGGCATTTTAGGATGGGATAAAGGATGATAATCTGGTTGGAATCGAGGCTACCCGATTTTCAGACAGACTCGATGTTGATTATGATGTATGATTTTGATCGAAAAGACTGGCATGTCATGACTCACCATGAGATGAAGCATCCTTCAAGAAATCAAGAAAGTAAAGCGGCACTCATAGGGATGACTTTCGTGTTGGTATTTCTAGGGGAGAGAGAGAGAGAGAGAGAATTTGGATATGACAGTCAGCAAGAATATGCTAACAGCTGCTAAGGGGTTGTCCCAAAATGGAGGACCGCAAAATCTTACTCTGGATTTTCCTATGAAAAAGCAATTTCTTGGGAGTGCTTAATGGGGGTGGGTGACAATTTCGATGCTACCTAGCAAGCTGTTTGAAGCCCAGAGATGGCCACGGTCTGCCACGGTTATATAGATCAAAACCTTTACAGTCCTTTCTTCCAAGCTGTTCACGCGAAAGTGCACCAGCTATGTGGTTTCAAAAGACAGCTGCCAAAACCTATGAGCAAAATGCTCGCATTACATTCTGCAACATGGGCTTCCAAGTTCTGTAGGCACAGGGGATTTGGATTCAACCCGAGCTTCAACCATGTGGCTGACCACACTGCTAGACCTGAGGCAGTTCCCCCACTCCGGTTTGGGTCCCGGTGCTGAACGGCCCTGGCGGCGGCCCCTTGGTCGAACACAGAATTTTGCAGCTGACTTGCTCAACTGAGAGCTGCATGGCGCTGCCGAAACGGCCTAAACCGAGGTTTCGGGTTGAACCCGAAGGTCGACAACATGTGGACCTTTGACTCTGGCTGTGGAGGCGTGGCAACTGGTGAAGTTGGGGTGATTACTGCCTTTCCGAGGAATGCAGGGTAGCTCTTCCTGGAATGATTGCGCAGTATCAGAGACCTAGCCAACAAGATCTCTTGCTGTTGCACTGCAGCTCTGATCCGACTATACATAAATAAATAAATGAATAAATAAATAAATATATGTATATATATATATATATCTTCAGGAATACTTTAGTGCACAACAGCAACCCAGCAGAACGGAAGGGACATCATCTTCAATAATTTAAAGGGACAAACGGTGACAACTTGATTTGTTGTCTTCCCAAATAACTCTCAAGTGTGACGTGTGCCTGGCCAGGTCCTGTGAAATGTGGGACAATGAGCCCCCTGCCCAGTTTCTCGCCCGAGTGGTTCACGGCGAAATTGCCGCCGGGAACCCCTGCGCCCCGCCCGCTGCCGCCATCGGCCTTCCAGCCTCCTCCAGTGCCACCCGGGCTGATGGCCCAGATTCCGGTGCTGGCGACGGTGCCCCCTGCGGTTGCCGCAATGGTCGTCGAGGCCCTGCGGGCACCGCCTCTGACCACGGCCACGATGCCGGCACCACCTGCGTCGGTGCTGCAAGCAGGGCCCTTGCCCTACTTGCCCTCAATTGCTCCTCCGTACTGTGGAGGCTATCCCTGGAGATTCATGGTCAGAGGTGAAGTGCCAGGTCCCTTTCGTACGTGCGTGTGAGCAGTAGGACTAATCTATGATCAAAGGAAGTTTAGGGGGAGAAACTTCCGTGTTACGGACTTTTAGAATGTCAGGGAAAGAGTTAGTCAAAGAAAGAGTTAGTGAGGGAAAGAGTTAGTCAAAGAAAGAGTTAGCAAAGAAAGAGTTAGTCAAAGAAAGAGTTAGTGAGGGAAAGAGTTAGTCAAAGAAAGAGTTAGCAAAGAAAGAGTTCGTCAGGGAAAGAGTTAGTCAAAGAAAGAGATAGTGAGGGAAAGAGTTAGTCAAAGAAAGAGATAGTGAGGGAAAGAGTTAGTCAAAGAAAGAGTTAGCAAAGAAACAGTTAGTCAGGGAAAGAGTTAGTCAAAGAAAGAGTTAGTGAGGGAAAGAGTTAGTCAAAGAAAGAGTTAGCAAAGAAACAGTTAGTCAGGGAAAGAGTTAGTCAAAGAAAGAGTTAGTCAGGGAAAGAGTTAGTCAAAGAAAGAGTTAGCAAAGAAACAGTTAGTCAGGGAAAGAGTTAGTCAAAGAAAGAGTTAGTGAGGGAACGAGTTAGTCACAGAAAGAGCTAGTGAGGGAAAGAGCTAGTCAAAGAAAGAGTTAGCAAAGAAACAGTTAGTCCGGGAAAGAGTTAGTCAAAGAAAGAGTTAGTGAGGGAAAGAGTTAGTCAAAGAAAGAGTTAGTCAGGATATATGAGGTAGTCAAAGAAAGAGTTAGCAAAGAAACAAGTTAGTCAAAAAAAGAGTTAGTGAGGGAAAGAGTTAGTCACAGAAAGATTTAGCAAAGAAACTGTTCACTCAGTGTAAATGGGATTGCAAGTGGTGCTGGTGGAGGAGTTGCCGATGAAGTTTTGGAGGAAGTCTCGCACGAAATGCGTTTTTGAGAGATAGCAGATGCACGAAAGCCTATGTTTTTCCATACAAAGTCCGTCCCCGAACCTCGATGATCTACCTCTGCGGTGCGACGGGTGCGAGACGGTCTCGTGTGTGGTCGGATCATGCTCGGATCATGTTCGGATCATGTTCGGATCGGTTCCGCATTGTAAATGGGGTTTCACCTGTGTTTCGTGCATGTGTGGTCGACAGAATTCCATTGTGATTTGCAACTGTAGGATCGTTCCCGCATTGTAAATGGGGTTGCAAGTGGTGCTGGTGGATGAGTTGCCGATGGAATTCCATTGTGATTTGCAACTCTAGGATCGTTCCCTCACTGTAAATGGGATTGCAAGTGTGCTGGTGGAGGAGTTGCCGATGGAGTTTTGGAGGAAGTCTCGCACGAAATGCGTTTTTGAGAGATAGCAGATGCACGAAAGCGTATGTTTTTCCATACAAAGTCCGTCCCCGAACCTCGATGATCTACCTCTGCGGTGCGACGGGTGCGAGACGGTCTCGTGTGTGGTCGGATCATGCTCGGATCATGCTCGGATCATTCTCGGATCATTCTCGGATCGGTTCCGCATTGTAAATGGGGTTTCAACTGTTTTTCGTGCATGTGTGGTCGACAGAATTCCATTGTGATTTGCAACTGTAGGATCGTTCCCGCATTGTAAATGGGGTTGCAAGTGGTGCTGGTGGATGAGTTGCCGATGGAATTCCATTGTGATTTGCAACTGTAGGATCGTTCCCGCAATGTAAATGGGATTGCAAGTGTTGCTGGTGGATGAGTTGCCGATGGAGTTTTGAAGGAAGTCTCGCATGAAATGCGTTTTTGAGAGATAGCAGATGCACGAAACCCTATGTTTTCCATACAAAGTCCGTCCCCGAACCTCGATGATCTACCTCTGCGGTGCGACGGGTGCGAGACGGTCTCGTGTGTGGTCGGATCATGCTCGGATCATGTTCGGATCGGTTCCGCATTGTAAATGGGGTTTCACCTGTGTTTCGTGCATGTGTGGTCGACAGAATTCCATTGTGATTTGCAACTCTAGGATCGTTCCCTCACTGTAAATGGGATTGCAAGTGGTGCTGGTGGAGGAGTTGCCGATGGAGTTTTGGAGGAAGTCTCGCACGAAATGCGTTTTTGAGAGATAGCAGATGCACGAAAGCCTATGTTTTTCCATACAAAGTCCGTCCCCGAACCTCGGTGATCTACCTCTGCGGTGCGACGGGTGCGAGACGGTCTCGTGTGTGGTCGGATCATGCTCGGATCATGTTCGGATCGGTTCCGCATTGTAAATGGGGTTTCACCTGTGTTTCGTGCATTTGCGGTCGACAGAATTCCATTGTGATTTGCAACTGTAGGATCGTTCCCGCAATGTAAATGGGATTGCAAGTGGTGCTGGTGGACGAGTTGCCGATGGAATTCCATTGTGATTTGCAACTCTAGGATCGTTCCCTCACTGTAAATGGGATTGCAAGTGGTGCTGGTGGAGGAGTTGCCGATGGAATTCCATTGTGATTTGCAACTGTAGGATCGTTCCCGCAGTGTAAATGGGATTGCAAGTGTTGCTTCCTCTTTTGTCTGCACGCGTAATACTATTGTCTTTTGTAGCTGGACTTCGTAAATCGTATTGGAGTGGCTGCATGAAGGCTGCGACAGTGATTTGTCAGCAGATTTTCTCCATTTTGGCGCTAGTGATTTTCCTTCTAAAAATCCTTTAAAAAAGTGCTTCAAAATCGTTTTTTTTTCGCTCTGGCGTCGAGTTCCGACCCAGTTGCGCGTAGTTCTATTGCGTTTTGCAACTCAGTCTCTGCAGATCGCATAGTAATGGCTGCGTCAAGGTTGCTTCTTGCCACGGCTATTTTGGCGCTAGCAATTTTCCTTTAAAAAATCCTTTTAAAAAGTGCTTCAAAATCGTCTTTTTTTCGCTTTGGCGTCGAGATCCGGTTTTGGAGCTGCAATTTCCGACCCAGTTGCGCGTAGTTCTATTGTGTTTTGCAACTCAGTCTTTGCAGATCGCATTGTGATGGCTGCGTCAAGGTTGCTTGGTGCCGCGGCTGCATGCGCAATACTATTGTCTTTTGCAACTGGACTTCGTAAATTGTATTGGAGTGGCTGCATGAAGGCTGCGACAGTGATTTGTCAGCAGATTTTCTCCATTTTGGCGCTAGTGATTTTCCTTCTAAAAATCCTTTTAAAAAGTGCTTCAAAATCGTCTTTTTTTTCGCTCTGGCGTCGAGATCCGGTTTTGGAGCTACAATTTCCGACGCCGTTGTGCGTAGTTCTATTGTGTTTTGCAACTCAGTCTCTGCAGATCGCCTTGTAATGGCTGCGTCAAGGTTGCTTCGTGCTGTGGCTGCATGCGTAATACCATTGTCTTTTGCAGCTGGACTTCGTAAATCGTATTGGAGTGGCTGCATGAAGGCTGCGACAGTGATTTGTCAGCAGATTTTTTCCATTTTGGCGCTAGTGATTTTCCTTCTAAAAATCCTTTTAAAAAGTGCTTCAAAATCGTCTTTTTTTCGCTCTGGCGTCGAGATCCGGTTTTGGAGCTACAATTTCCGACGCCGTTGCGCGTAGTTCTAGTGTGTTTTGCAACTCAGTCTCTGCAGATCGCATTGTAATGGCTGCGTCAAGGTTGCTTGGTGCCGCGGCTGCATGCGTAATACTATTGTCTTTTGCAACTGGACTTCGTAAATCGTATTGGAGTAGGTGCATCAAGGGTTCGACAGTGATTAGTAGTAGTGCTGGGAATTGATTAATGAAAGCTTAATAGATGACATATGAGAAGGGACGAAATGAGAAGAGATGAGCTGGGATAAGGTGAGAAGAGCTCAGATGAGATGAACTGTGGAGTGTGAAGAGTGTAGTGTGAAATGTGGGGCGTGAAGAGTGCAGTGTGAAGTGTGAAGTGTGAAGTTTGGAGTGTGAAGGAAGCAGTGAGAAGTGAGAAGTGTGAAGTGTGGACTGTGAAGTGTGGAGTGTGAAGTTTGGAGTGCGAAGAGTGCAGTGTGAAGTGTGGAGTGTGAAGAGTGCAGTGTGAAGTGTACAGTGTGAAGGAAGCAGTGGGAAGTGAGAAGTGTGAAGTGTGGAGTGTGAAGTTTAAGTTTGGAGTGCGCAGAGTGAGTGTGAAGTGTGAAGTGTGAGGTTTGGAGTGTGAAGGCAGCAGTGAGAAGTGAGAAGTGTGGAGTGTGAAGTGCGAAGTGAGAAGTGTGAAGTTTGGAGTGTGAAGGAAGCAGTGAGAAGTGAGAAGTGTGAAGTGAGAAGTGTGAAGTGTGGACTGTGAAGTGTGGAGTGTGAAGTGCGAAGTGAGAAGTGTGAAGTTTGGAGTGTGAAGGAAGCAGTGAGAAGTGAGAAGTGAGAAGTGTGAAGTGTGGACTGTGAAGTGTGGAGTGTGAAGTGCGAAGTGAGAAGTGTGGACTGTGAAGTGTGAAGTGTGAAGTGTGGACTGTGAAGTGTGAAGTGTGAAGTGTGGACTGTGAAGTGTGCAGTGTGAAGTGTGAAGTGTGAGGTTTGGAGTGTGAAGGAAGCAGTGAGAAGTGAGAAGTGTGGAGTGTGAAGTGTGGAGTGTGAAGTGTGGACTGTGAAGTGTGGAGTGTGAAGTGCGAAGTGAGAAGGAAGCAGTGGGAAGTGAGAAGTGTGAACTGTGAAGTGTGGAGTGTGAAGTGTGGAGTGTGAAGTTTAAGTTTGGAGTGCGAAGAGCGCAGTGTGAAGTGTGAAGTGTGAGGTTTGGAGTGTGAAGGCAGCAGTGAGAAGTGAGAAGTGTGAAGTGTGGAGTGTGAAGTGTGAAGAGTGGAGTGTGAAGTTTCGAGTGCGAAGCGTGGAGTGTGAAGTGTGAAGTTTCGAGTGTGAAGAGTGCAGTGTGAAGTGTGGAGTGCGAAGTGTGGAGTGTGAAGACTTTGCTTCGTCTCTCGCTGAAAAAAAAAGCCGCTTGTCGAGGGAAGGACACGGTCGGGACAGGCTGGCGTCGAACTATAGGTCATTTATTCTTGGGAAAATTCCGCCGCCGGCTTGCCCGGGTCTATGTTAGCTTTGACAACTGCTCAGTGATGTGGAGATATGTGGAGCATCATTGCACCAAACTACCAGTAACCTTTGATTTGTGAGAAGGGAGCCTCAGACAAAGGATGGTAGCCGGAAGCCGTGTAGACATGGTGGCAAGCTGACATCCATTGCCAGTGACAGGTGGTCCGAATCTGTCGGGATTTGTTGCCCCAACAGCGTGGAACCTGGCGCTTGATTTGTCAATGTTTTGGAACCAAAATTATCAAACATGTCGCTTGTCACCACACAGCGTCCATGAAATTTGAGGAAGAATATAGAGACAGATGTCATTTGTCTTTGTTTCAAATATATAGAGCGTTTCATCCATTCTCAGATTGACTCGGTCAAGCTGAGGTCTTCCATGCTCCAGTGGCACGCGGCAGAAACATGTGCTGTGTGGTCCACTGAACAAGGTGGGAGAAGAGCCTAAAATGCCTGAAAGAGTGGTCATACACCGTGGTACTGGTAAAGGGTGAAAACAAGTCTATCTATCGTTCGTTGATACTTGGCACCATCCTTTTCTTTTCAAGTGGTTGTTTCCTCCTCGTGGCACTCATTGAATGGGTCCTCTCTTCCAAAGTGTGTCGGTAAACTTTGTCTTTGTTCGTATGTTGACCTCTTTTATTTTTTTCACGCTTGTGCTATCTGTCTCTCTCTGTCTCTCTCTCTCTCTCTGTGTCCATGTCTCATATTTAACTTCCTTTTTTGTGGGAAGTTGTGGTGGGAAGCTTTTGGTAATTATGACATGTTGACATCCTCCCCACTGAAAGGCACTCCTGTGCAACTCCCGACGAAATGCAGGGAACCTAGTACTCAGGTAGGGAAGTTATCCTTGTCATTCCTTGACTAGAAAAAGTCCCGATGTAGGAAACCTATCAAGAACGTCATTGGTACCACTGCCGCATCAAGTTCCTGTAATGAGGGATGCTAACACTCAAACACCTTCATGTTGGGATCAAGTTTTTGCTTAATTACGCCAATTGAGCAACAATAATCATTAACACAGAAGGACTTTGTCTCTCGTTGTTTGAAACATCATTGCATCTAGCCATTCATAGGGCCCAAGCGATCTCAATCAACCTGAGGTGCGAAATGCTCCGCCCACGGTAGAAACATGTACCGTGTGGCTCCACTGCCACAGACTGCGCGCCGGAAAACATGCGATGAAACTTGGATGAGTGATCTCAGCAAGTCACTTTAGCAAGTGGTGCTGGTTGTTACAAGCTGGCGCCCCCTGAGCAATGTTTGTTCCTTTCTAACTACCATGATATAACATGATATAACTATATAAAGATGTATCTTCTACATGTATCAACGATAAACTCCAGAGATTGGAGTTAAAACTAACTTAGCTGCCCGGCATTCCTTGAAACCTTCTGAACTTCAGTTCTCATGGGAGGTGGCTCTGTCGGTCAAGATTTGTCCACCAGTTGTCAGGGTTGCTCTAACCGTAGGCAAATGATAGCCACAACGGGACAAAAGTGGTAATTTTACCTCTTTATCTACGATTTTTCCTACATGTATTTGGGGTGTTGGGAGCAACCCTGATTATTGTTGCATCATGTTTTGCAGCAATCTTCATTTCTCTAATGTCCACATTTCATCGTCGGTGCATGTTGAACATCCAAAACGCCAGATGGTGAATATCCAAAACAACAGGCACGCAGCCGATCCCACAAAATATGGCAACATTTATTGAACCGTCCCCAAATGAACATATATGAACAAGGTCCTTTGAAACATCTGTGTCAAAGTCATTTCATGGTACTGATATGTACTGATGTGGAGGGCTTCTATGATCTGCGAGAAGCAGTTATGCTCAGTTGCTGTTTTGGCCCAGAAATGCACCAATCAGCAAGTCAGTCTGACCAGCTTGATAGCCCGAAAAAAACATGTACAGATTGTCCAAAAAGTGTCATTTTTCACTTCTGGGAAACAGACCTACAGTCATGATCAGTCATGGTGGGAAGCCCGAAAATATGTGAAAGCACGTGAAATCATGGCCTTGAAGCTGCGTTTAAGCGCCTCAGAAGCCGAGCTTTTTGAGGAGTTTTTTATTCGTTGCATTTCAATCAGGCTTAAAGAAGACGCGATCCGATCGTGATCCGATCTACCACACTTGATGAACTTTGGTTTGGCGAAGATTTGCAGGTGCTGTTCCAAACTTGAAGGGTGGCTGAATAGTGCTCCCTCTCGGAGTGGTTGTCACATGCTGTTCCACATTCCCGTCAGGTACAGGGCCGCCACGCCTTGTGCTGGGAGGACTAGTTCTTTTTTGAAACAATCCAGGTTCCTTACTCGTGGGTTGTGGGATTCGGATCGTTTCAAAAAAGAACCAGTCCACGATTGTTTCAAAAAAGCAGCAGTCCTCCAAGCGACTCACAAACAATGGTCCTCTGAGGGGTGCAAGTTTTGAGACTTCCAGTATCCTGCGGCTGATTTTCTCCCAGTTTGGAAAGATGGTGGCGCCTCCTTTCCCAGACCGGACAGTACCGGACTGGCCGAAAGTGCCGAAGAACGGTTCAGAGTGAGTCGTTTGAGGTGAAACAGAAAATACGTCAGAGCCAAGGACTGATTCGGTTTAAGGCCATGCCACCAGTTATTTGGCCAGCCATTGCCATGGATTTCTCATGATTTCTCCCCTTTTGGCCTGGGAGGATTGTTTCCTTTTTGAGTTTCAAAGAAGAAACAATCCTCCCGTTTGGCCGTTGAGGCCCTCCAAACCAAAGGATTGCCAGCGATGATTCTGAAAGTGGTGCATGGAGAGGCGCAAGCTGGAGGACTGAGTACCGGAAGTCACCCTGGAAGTGTGCGCTGTAAACGTGAGGCCAAATTTGCTTTGCCAATGCTGCGATTTGGCACAGATTTGTGCCTTTCTGGGCAATCCAAAAGCCTTGAGCTGTCCTTACTGCCAAGATTTCCGATCTGTATTTGGGTGCTGACCTGAGATTTTTTTTCATGCAGCAACGAATCAAGTAGGAGCAGGGTGTTCCTCTTCACTTCCAGCAGGCAAGCAGAGTGGACCCTGCTGTCGCTTGCTTACAGTCATCTTGACATTTCAGGCTCCAAAAATAAGTGTGAGCTTTCAATTTCCAGCTCCAGAGACACGCTGTGCGCCTCTGCGGCTGCACTTTGCTGACATCTTTCAAAGTGCAGTTACTAAATTCAGCACTTGGGATTGAACCCTGGGTGGAATATTTTGGAGCTCCATGTTCCATGATCTGATGGCTAGCTCAAGGCTGTGGCCAATGGAACCAAGCCTGTCCTAGGACAAAGTTTGGCCCCTGCCGGATATCAAAGATTTTCCGGGCCAAACTTTGTCCTAGGACAGGCACTTTCCCCGCGTCACTGGGCTCAAGGGCTGTTGAATTCGAGGCTTTCGGGAAACTGAAGCGCTTCAATATGTTGAATAACAAGCGATGCGGGACATGATTGCGTTTTTGCCTTTGTAGCTTGTGCAATGTGCTTAGAAGTACTCTGACGACATTTCACAGAGGCTGTGGAAGCATCCTGTACGGTAGTGGAGTCTAGTAGCTACCCCGTCATGCGATTGCTGAATTTCCTTTGCATTGGGGAAAGGCGCTTGTGCTTTTGGCCTGGAAATTTCTCCGCTCAAACTTTTTTTGGAAGTAGTTGCAATGCAAGTCCAGGATGAGTAGGTTGCAATGCCGAAGGTTTGGACATCGCATGAGATTCGACTTCTTTCCGTCGGGTTATCCATCCATTCAGCCGGTGCAGGTGCTGGGTGGTGGTCGCAACCCCTGGAGACCTTTGTCATCCCGTGGCTTGGGATGCGACATGGTCTGCTTCCCGAGAATTGATATGTCGCCGTTTGACCAACCACGAACCGTTTTGACTTCGAAATCCAGTGATGGAAGTGACGACCGGATATGGGATGGATGGCTGATTGCTTCTTGACTCGTCATGCCGGAGCTATTGGGAGGTCAAAGGAGCCTTGCCTTTCTCAAGGCGATCTGGGATGATCACTGAATGCTGCGACGAGACATCACGATGTCAGAACGGTGAAATTTGATGGAAGTCCTACATGTTTCTACGTACGGCGAGGGCATGGATCGCATTACTGAAAAAAAGGGAAGCAATGAAACCGACGCTGTTGGTTGACGTGCTGGCAGCTGTGGTTGTTTCAGTTCAAGACGGGATGCAGCATTCAGATTCATTCGCTCGCTTTTTGAAACAGCTAGATGTTGTATGACTTGAAATTTCCCATGGCACCTGCGCATTCCGGGCCGCTTCCTCAGCCTGGAAGTTGCAACATTTTCAGATGGTGACCGCTCTCCGAGATGGAATTGTTGTTGGTTTTTGATCCTGCGATGTGAGCAGTTTTCGCTCGTTTTTTGGTCTATGGGAGACTGTAAGAAACTGCAGTTGAAGCTCCTTTGAATTGTTGCAGGTTGCAGAGGGCTACGAAGGTGAACGGGCAGAATCTACCGACCCTTCTTGAGCGACTTGGCGCCAGTCTGTGACAGGGACTTTTCCTTGGATCATGATCTAGAAACTAGAAATAGAATGAAATAAACATAGCAGGATTCTGCAACATAACGGGACATAACAACCGGATGATTCTCCTCAATTGTGCGCATTGCCTCGCCTCGCCATCAGGCTGGCGGATGGGAAGTGTGGTTCCGAAGACCAAACTCCAAAACCTGTACTGTAGGCAGTGGGATAGGTTGGATATAGGGTACGCTAGGGTTGAGGTCAAGGCAATTGGATACTTCTTGGATCGGTAGATTGAGATTATCATGGACAGAAGCGTAGGGAACAGGTAGAGATACAGCCAGACATGTTGTGACGTGTTTGTTTGCCCCTCCTTTGTTGGGAGGACCTTCACATTGATACCGGGTTTATGAATTATTGAAAATCCGCAGCACAGAGAGAAATTCAGCTGTCTCAAAGCCAACGTGAGGCGCCATGCGCCCAAGCTGCGGCCGCTGCGTTGGACCAAAGAGTGGCCAAAGACGCCACCCCCACAGGATCGGCGATGTGGGATCTCCTTTGTAACGACGAGTTGCGGGTTAGAACCGACAGATGTGAACCCCTGAATTGTTTGTCGGCAGGCTGGAGTTTATTTAAGGCATTTTAAGGCCAAGGAGCGGCAATATACTGCACGTCATTTGAGTCATTTGGTATGATCAACAGTGAACAAGAAAGGAATTTTGATTGAGACGCATGCATCGATGAGCACCATTGCATGAAGCTCTAACCCGCCATTAAAATGAATGGTGTGTTTTCCGAAATTTGCGTAGACATGGGATATGCCCGACATGCCCGACATGCCCGACATGCCCAATTTAACAGTGGATGTGCCCCATGCTCATGTCTCGCACACGTGGGAAACCACAAGATGTCCACTGATCACCCTCTGAAACGCAACCTGGCGCCGTGCAAACACGGAGCCAACGGATGATCCACTGATTGAACATGATCATCTTTGTGTCCCACAACAAATCCAAGAGAGGATATGTAGAGATACATTGGGTTCCGAAATAGAATTGGGTTCAGCGAAAGCATCCAGGTCGATCAGGTCGGGTAAGTGATGTCATAATCCAAAGGCGTGACAGGAGCTTCTCACAACAGCGACTGCCGCGTTGTCTGGAGACTTTTGCTACCAGCAACAGAAAAGATGCAGCACCCTGCAGGTTGTGATATGTTGTCGTGCTTGCAGAAGCGGCTTTGCATGACTTTGCATCGTAAGCCGAAATGAAAGCAAGATTTCAAGATACAGGTTCTTAGCAAGGGGGCTGTGTACGTCAGGTTTCTTGATTCTCATCCAAACCATCATGTTATGTGCTTCATGTTTCCGATTTTGTGGCCACAAACCGAGTATCATGTGCTGCTGTGGTTTGAAGGTTTCTTTGGATTTTATGAACCACGGTGAGATTGTTGAATGGACCACCTATCTTTGTGGGATCAAGACTGCAGGCAAGAAGGACAGAACTCACTCAGAGATGTGTTTTTTCTGTGGATCAAAGTCAATTGCGCTCGTGGTAAATTGCCGAATAACTCGCCAAAATGATGGGTGGCAAAGCAAATGCCTTCAAGATCCTTGAACTATCACCGTTTCTCCCAAACGCAAGACTAGCGATTTGCAGAAAAGAACGTAATATGGACAGAAACCTGCGGACAGCGATGCAGAAGCGGTGGTGCAGTATTTGAGCAAGCGACTTGTCAAAAGAAAAACGTGTGCTGGCACTGATGGCAAAGATCTCTTTAGGCCCTTGCTCACCATCAAGAAAAAAACCATTCATCGGTACATCGTCCGAATCTCATCCTCATTTTTTCTTGTGTTTTGCCATGTTTTAGCAATGGCTGTGAGGGTGGTCCTGGGCAGAATGCCTCAAGTGTCATTTTTTTTATGGTAACCCTTCCCTTCCCCCATCCTCCAGGGGCTGTTGTGGTTGACATGTGCATGCGGCTCGCGGCGCAATATTTTGAAACTTCAGTTTAGTAGGTCTGCTCTTTGCTCATGAATTTCTGGACAACTGTATGATACCCATGGCTTGTAACTTGCAACTGCCTGGTTTTACCACCTGGCCTCAATGTTTCCTTGTACACATTAGCTGAATCAGACCCATGGGCACATGGACATGGTCTATGACAGAGTCCTCAATAGGATGCAGCATTTATCAGCATTATATCAGCATTCAACATGGTGAGCGCAACGCCTGATGCCTGATACACCATGACTTGGCGCATGATGCAGTGGCTCCTCGCAACGATTTTCGTCATTCTTTCTCCTGCTGAGCTGCGTGTCTCGAAGCAGAGCACGACTGGACAGCAGAGCACCTCGGCTGCGGTTTCGGGGCTTGCTGGGGGTGCATTGGTCAGGCAGTTTCAACAACTCGTAACACAGGGAGCTACAACAGGCATCTAGTAGATGTGTTGCATTGCCACAGTGTCTACTTTGGGGTCTTTGTCAGCCTTTGCCGTGAAATTTACCGTAACTTAGCCAGATGGCCATCAGCTGAAGTGGCAACTCGCAACTCCAACTCCCAGATGTTTTAAAGTAATTTCTAATAGATACTCGTTTGAGGCACTTTTTGCTAAAAGTATCCTCTACCCATGCTGCGGCGTAATTCCAAACTTGGGGTATTTTTGGAAGAATGCTGCGGCGTTTTTTTGCTTCTAAACAAAAACTGTGCAAACAGCTGGAGCATGTGGTTTCAGCATTTTTCAGGGCTTCACTACATCCTGGTCAGAAACTTTGACTCACTTATCTCAATGCAAACTGAAACAAGCTGGTAATAAATATTTCGGACTAGTCCGACCAAAAGTTCTAGCCCTTGTTGTTGTTCTGGCATTAACGTGCAAGTTTGGACAGCCACGCTTTTTTCGAACTTCCCCGGTCAGGTCAATCAAATATATATATATAAACAAAGTTGGTTCCGCGAGGCCCAAGAATCTTTTCACTTTCTGTTTGGACTGTTGGATTCGCTTTGCCGCCACAAGGTAGCCACCCAGTGCCCCAACCAGCAGCTGAAACGGGTGCCAGACATCTGCAGGTGGGCCTCGAGGGTTCACAGAAAGTCGATGTTCTGTTGCTGTATTGTTGGTTTTTTCCGGTTACCTTCTTGGAATTTCCAAGACCCAAATATCACCGAGAGTTGCGCAGTTCCTGCTTGCAGGACTGTGAGGTGATTGGCTGGGCCGAACTCTGTGAACGAAAGAAGTTGACGGCCGGGTCGTGCTTTCAACTTCAGTGGCTTGGTCACAGGGGATCTGAAGAATGCGATGCTTGCGTGTTGGTTGTGGGTTGGATATGGTTGGAACATGTTGGAAAAGGGGGCTATGTTGTTTTGACATCAGATGTTCTGTCTTTGATTTGTCCTGCTGAAGACATGCATTGTTTGGTTCCGGAAATTCAGAGGTGTCAGTTGCATTCTTCCGAAGCTTGTCAGCTATTGCAACTAATGACTTTTTCTAAATACCTAAAAGACGTTAAATATCCTTCACCGAAAATTAAAGCATACTTCATTCATCTTCATTCAAGCCCTGCAGAAACTTCTGAGTCCCGCGAAAAACCGAGGCCCACCGCGGCAGCTCCACTCTGCGAGCTGCAAGGGCCCCACGGGCGCCACGGGGCGCCTGCGCACCTGCGGGCAGCTGCAGCGGGAATTCTGACCTTGACATCCGGGGAGCTACACATCAGCGGGTGCCTTGGAGGAATTCTGTTTGGATACGTTTGATGGTGAGGTGGGATGAGGTGGGCAGATTGGGAGGCGCTCAAGTTGTGCAATAGACACTAAGCCTTCAACACCCCAAACCCTGCAAGTCCAAGGGTCCAAGGTTGGGGCCCCCCAAGCTCCAGAGTAAGTGCTTGGCAAGCTTCGTTCTTCTTCAAGAGCATCTTCCAAAAGTTCCTTCAACGCATGTAGTTTGAACCTTGCAGAAACTTTGCGCAGCTCCCAGGCAAATTCAGATGACTTCGCTCCGCCTGGCAGCCAAGAACCTTGCCTGCTCCAGGGGCTGTACATAGCGAATAGCGAGTCCAGAACTCTTTTTGGCTGTTATGTTATCATGTTGCAGTTCTCATAGAATGCTGCAAAAAGATACACGCAGAATGGGGGAGTTCGGATTTATTTCATGCAGAGTTCAGGGTGCCATGTGATACCATGAAGAATTCAACTGAGGACTGTGAACTTTGCAGATGCTCACGTGGAAGCGTGGCATGAAGTTCCATCCGACCCAAACTCCACCGCATCTGGTGGCGCCTTTTTCAGCGAGGGGTCATTCACTTTGACCAGATCCCGCCTGACAGCTACTTGGATTGTTTTTAAATTCAGGATTTGTTTAGCTCTTAGTGTCAGAGTCTTTTCTTGAAACTATACATCAATGGCCGTGGAATGCCGTGGTGGATTTTGGAGTAAGCTGTTGAACGCTGGCTGTGGACATGAAGTTGGGATGCTGCAGATACCCATCCAACAACAAACGAAGGTGAGAGATGTTCGGGCTACAACTATGGATGGTGGTGGCTTCGCAGCGGACGGAGACCTGACCCTGGGTGGCATTGCAGGGGCACAGGTGTCTATTTGATTCAGTATATTTGCTGAGGAAAAAAACATGTTAGCAGAAAATGGTAAGAGAATGTGCCAGCTAGGAAGTGTTCATTCTGCCAGAGACGTTGTCCCTTGGGCATTTTCCAAAGATATGGATGTGTGTGAACTCCATGGAACGTGGGATGGGGCAGTGCCTCTAGGTGCAGAACTAGGAGAAAATTAAATCCCTTGGGAAGGCAGGTCACATCGAAACGGCCATGGATTGCAGAAGGTGATGCGTTGTCGTTTTTTGTCCATGGAAAAAGGTGGAAACTGTAAAAGGTATTGCTGATCGCAGAGAGGGCAAAAGAGTAGAGTCAATGCAGAGAGGCATGTGTAAGTCATTTTTGGTGCTTCCTTTGCCACATACGCCAAGAACATGATTGGCCTTTCTGGTTCTCAATTGGCATACAAGATGCAATATTCATTACTGTTGTGGTGGACGCCAAACTCCTCTGATGTTCACCTGATCAATGCGATGAGATTCGGTCCCCAAGGAATGTGTGCCAAGACTCTGAAGTCGTGATCGAGAGCGTTTCAGCAAAGTCTGGTGCTGGCTTCCTTGCCATGGGAAATGTCTACATTTCGGTGGGGCACTCAGTGCGTTCGCTGCCATGCTGGAGAGCTATGTAAAAGGACGCGAACAGGCTCATTCACAGCATTTTCAGTTCCCATGTACACATTGACATGTAATTTTTGTGACTCCCACGGACACGTTGTTGAAAGACGCGTCTCTTTTGATTTGTTTGTTCTCTCAACTGACCCTTGTGCTATTGCTGATTGGCTCAGGACGACTCAATGATCTTTATTCAGAATGCCAGATCCACCAAAAGCGGAGGTGGCTTCTCAACCAAAAAACGCCTGCGAGTGTCCAACAGCTCAGTTGTGAGCCTTGAGAACGTGACCGCCGGAAGTCATGGAGGAGCTTTCACTGCCCTTGGAGATGTTGAGATAGCTGGCCACTCGACAGTCAACATGTCCAACAGTCACGCTGAAACAGGACATGGTGGAGGTTTTGGCACTGAAAAGGGCTTGAAGGTGTCCAACGGCTCAAGACTCATCATTCGAAATGCGACAGCTGGAAATTCTGGAGGAGGCTTCTATGCCAAAGGGAGGGCTTTGATCAGCAGGTCCACAGTCAGCATCCAAAATGCCACGGCCCAGCAGCATGGTGGAGGGTTTGGTGCATCTGATGAGGTTGTCATTGAAGAGATGTCAAGCGTCAGCATTTACAGTTCAAGATCGGAAAAAGCTGGCGGAGGCTTCCATACGTCCAGACGCTTGCAGGTGACCAACAGCTCAGTTGTCAGCCTTCAGAATGTGACCGCTGGAAGTCATGGAGGAGGCTTCATTGCTTTTGGAGAGGTTGAGATAGCTGGCCACTCGACGGTCAACATTTCCAACGGTCACGCTGAATCAGGAGATGGAGGAGGTTTTGACACTGAAAAGGGGTTGAAGCTGTTGACGGGCTCAACGCTCGCAATTCGGAACGCGACTGCTGGAAATATTGGAGGAGGATTCTACAGCAAGGGCAAGACCTTGATCAGCAGGTCCACAGTCACCATTCAAAATGCCACGGCCCAGCGGCATGGTGGAGGGTTTTGTGCTTCTGATGAGGTTGTCATCCATGAGATGTCAAGCGTCAGCATTTCCAGTTCAAGATCGAGATGGGGCGGAGGCTTCTTTACGGATAGACGCTTGCAGGTGACCAACAGCTCAGTTGTCAGCCTTCAGAACGTAGCCACACAAAAAAATGGAGGAGGTTTCAATTCCCTTGGAGAGGCTGAGATAGTCAGGAACTCTACCGTCAACATTTTCAACAGTCACGCTGAAACAGGAGATGGAGGAGGTTTTCGCATTGGAAAGGGCTTGAAGGTGTCCACCGGCTCAAGACTCATCATTCGGAATGTGACAGCTGGAAAATATGGAGGAGGATTCTATGCCAAGGGGAGGGCTTTGATCAGCAGGTCCACAGTCACCATTCAAAATGCCACGGTGCAGCAGTCTGGTGGAGGGTTTTATGCATCTGATGAGGTTGTCATTGAGGAGATGTCAAGCGTCAGCATTTCCAGTTCAAGATCGAGATGGGGCGGAGGCTTCTTTACGGACAGGCGCTTGCAGGTGACCAACAGCTCAGTTGTCAGCCTTCAGAACGTAGCCACACAAAAAAATGGAGGAGGTTTCAATGGCCTTGGAGAGGCTGAGATAGTCAGGAACTCTACCGTCAACATTTTCAACAGTCACGCTGAAACAGGAGATGGAGGAGGTTTTCGCATTGGAAAGGGCTTGAAGGTGTCCACCGGCTCAAGACTCATCATTCGGAATGCGACAGCTGGAAAATATGGAGGAGGATTCTATGCCAAGGGGAGGGCTTTGATCAGCAGGTCCACAGTCACCATTCAAAATGCCACGGTGCAGCAGTCTGGTGGAGGGTTTTATGCATCTGATGAGGTTGTCATTGAAGAGATGTCAAGTGTCAGCATTTACAGTTCAAGATCGAGATGGGGAGGAGGCTTCTTTACGGACAGGCGCTTGCAGGTGACCAACACCTCAGTTGTGAGCCTTCAGAACGTGGCCACACAAAAAAATGGAGGAGGTTTCAATGCCCTTGGAGAGGTTGAGATAGCTGGCCACTCGACGGTCAACATTTCCAACAGTCAAGCTGAAACAGGAAGGGGTGGAGGTTTTCGCTCTGAAAAGGGCTTGAAGCTGTTGACGGGCTCAAGAATCATCATTCGGAATGCGACAGCTGGAAAATATGGAGGAGGATTCTATGCCAAGGGGAGGGCTTTGATCAGCAGGTCCACAGTCGCCATTCAAAATGCCACGGTGCAGCAGTCTGGTGGAGGGTTTTATGCATCTGATGAGGTTGTCATCGATGAGATGACAAGCGTCAGCATTTCCAGTTCAAGATCGGAAAAAGCTGGCGGAGGCTTCCATACGGACGGACGCTTGCAGGTGACCAACAGCTCAGTTGTCAGCCTTCAGAATGTGACCGCTGGAAGTCATGGAGGAGGTTTCAATGCCCTTGGAGAGGTTGAGATAGCTGGCCACTCGACGGTCAACATTTCCAACGGTCACGCTGAAACAGGAGATGGAGGAGGTTTTGACACTGAAAAGGGGTTGAAGCTGTTGACGGGCTCAACGCTCGCAATTCGGAACGCGACTGCTGGAAATCTTGGAGGAGGATTCTACAACAAGGGCAAGACCTTGATCAGCAGGTCCACAGTCACCATTCAAAATGCCACGGCCCAGCAGCATGGTGGAGGGTTTTGTGCTTCTGATGAGGTTGTCATCGATGAGATGACAAGCGTCAGCATTTCCAGTTCAAGATCGGAAAAAGCTGGCGGAGGAGGCTTCCATACGGACGGACGCTTGCAGGTGACCAACAGCTCAGTTGTCAGCCTTCAGAATGTGACCGCTGGAAGTCATGGAGGAGGTTTCAATGCCCTTGGAGAGGTTGAGATAGCTGGCCACTCGACGGTCAACATTTCCAACAGTTACGCTGAAACAGGAGTTGGAGGAGGTTTTGACACTGAAAAGGGCTTGAAGCTGTTGACGGGCTCAACGCTCGCAATTCGGAACGCGACTGCTGGAAATCTTGGAGGAGGATTCTACAACAAGGGCAAGACCTTGATCAGCAGGTCCACAGTCACCATTCAAAATGCCACGGCCCAGCAGCATGGTGGAGGGTTTGGTGCATCTGATGAGGTTGTCATTGAAGAGATGTCAAGCGTCAGTATTTACAGTTCAAGATCGGAAACAAATGGCGGATTTGGCGGCGGCTTCCATACGGATAGACGCTTGCAGGTGACCAACAGCTCAGTTGTCAGCCTTCAGAACGTGACCGCGCAGAATTCTGGAGGAGGTTTCAATGCCCTTGGAGAGGTTGAGATAGCTGGCCACTCGACGGTCAACATTTTCAACAGTCAAGCTGAAATAGGAGATGGTGGAGGTTTTCGCACTGAAAAGGGCTTGAAGGTGTCCAACAGCTCAAGACTCATCATTCGGAATGCGACAGCTGGAAATTATGGAGGAGGTTTCACTGCCCTTGGAGATGTTGAGATAGCTGGCCACTCGACAGTCAACATGTCCAACAGTCACGCTGAAACAGGAGGAGGTTTTGGCACTGAAAAGGGCTTGAAGCTGTTGACGAGCTCAACGCTCGCAATTCGGAACGCGACTGCTGGAAATTTTGGCGGAGGATTCTACAACAAGGGCAAGACCTTGATCAGCAGGTCCACAGTCGCCATTCAAAATGCCACAGCCCAGCAGCATGGTGGAGGGTTTTGTGCTGCTGATGAGGTTGTCATCGATGAGATGTCAAGCGTCAGCATTTCCAGTTCAAGATCGGAAAAAGCTGGCAGAGGCTTCCATACGGACGGACGCTTGCAGGTGACCAACAGCTCAGTTGTCAGCCTTCAGAATGTGACCGCTGGAAGTCATGGAGGAGGTTTCAATGCCCTTGGAGAGGCTGAGATAGCTGGCCACTCGACGGTCAACATTTCCAACAGTCAAGCTGAAGCAGCAAATGGAGGAGGTTTTGACACTGAAAAGGGCTTGAAGGTGTCCACCGGCTCAAGACTCATCATTCGGAATGCGACAGCTGGAAATTATGGAGGAGGATTCTATGCCAAGGGCAAGACCTTGATCAGCAGGTCCACAGTCATCATTCAAAATGCCACGGCCCAGCAGCATGGTGGAGGGTTTGGTGCATCTGATGAGGTTGTCATTGAAGAGATGTCAAGCGTCAGTATTTACAGTTCAAGATCGGAAACAAATGGCGGATTTGGCGGCGGCTTCCATACGGATAGACGCTTGCAGGTGACCAACAGCTCAGTTGTCAGCCTTCAGAATGTGACCGCTGGAAGTCATGGAGGAGGTTTCAATGCCCTTGGAGAGGCTGAGATAGCTGGCCACTCGACGGTCAACATTTTCAACAGTTACGCTGAAACAGGAGTTGGAGGAGGTTTTGACACTGAAAAGGGCTTGAAGCTGTTGACGGGCTCAACGCTCGCAATTCGGAATGGGACAGCTGGAAATTATGGAGGAGGATTCTATGCCAAGGGCAAGACCTTGATCAGCAGGTCCACAGTCACCATTCAAAATGCCACGGCCCAGCAGCATGGTGGAGGGTTTTGTGCTGCTGATGAGGTTGTCATTGAAGAGATGTCAAGCGTTAGCATTTACAGTTCAAGATCAGCAAATCAGGGCGGAGGCTTCCAAGGGGACGGACGCTTGCAGGTGACCAACAGCTCAGTTGTCACCCTTCAAAACGTGACCGCGCAGACTTCTGGAGGAGGTTTCATTGCTTTTGGAGAGGTAGAGATAGCTGGGAACTCGACGGTCAACATTTCCAACAGTCAAGCTGAAACAGGACATGGAGGAGGTTTTGACACTGAAAAGGGCTTGAAGGTGTCCAACGGCTCAAGACTCATCATTCGGAATGCGACTGCTGGAACTTCAGGAGGAGGATTCTATACCAAAGGCAAGACCTTGATCAGCAGGTCCACCGTCAGCATTCAAAATGCCACGGCCCGGCAGCTTGGTGGAGGGTTCAGTGCTGAAGGAGTCACAGTTATCCAGGATTCTACCGTGGCCATGTTCAGCACGGATGCCGGGGCACATGGTGGTGCTTTTTCTGTGTTTGGTTTGACTTTGCACAGAAGTCAATTGTCGGCCAGCCACTCCACAGCGCTCGGATCGGGTTTCGGAGGTCGTGTAGATGGTCAAGTGCTTCTTTCATCTGAATCCAACTTGGTGGTGAAGGATGCCCAAGGTCTCGACAATTCCAGCGTGCTGGCAGCAGGTTGCCTCCACCTGCATGATCGGTCACACATTCTCTTTGAAGATGCCCTTGGTGGCCATGGGGTGGAGCTGCAAAATAGTGGATGCTCTGACGTTTGCTTAAACAGTACGTTCTATGTCGAAGCGGATGCAGCCCTCAACGCCAGTGGTCGCTTGAGCTCCGGTTTTCTCTCCCTTGCGTCCTGCCCGAAGGAGAAGGTACGTCTGTCAGGCATCCACCTGCACTCCTGGTCCAGCGCGTTGCTCAGCACCCGGCCCAGTTCTGTGGTGGTCGACCAAGTGACTATCGACTACGAGCCACCCATCGACAATTTGCGGGTCCTGGCTGCCAAGGACGGGCTCAAGGTGTCAGCAGGCGTCCGTGCGAGAGACTTTGGATGTTCGGATTTTGACTAACCTGTCAGAAAAAGTAGTCCTGGCAGGTCGGACCAAGTTATGTTTGTCTCTGGACTATGGTTTTCCAATTAAATTGCGTAATGTTTGAAAGTCAGCAACTTGCTGAACTATATAATCAAAGTCGCAGCAGGATGGCTTTGAGATCGACTCTTTGACGGTTTCCTGCTGGAACTGCCCATGGGGCGTGACTTTCAACGCTACGAAGGACAGAAGTCTGAAAGCCGTGAGCTCTGAATATCTCAAATGCTCCAAGACCGTCACAGCGCCACTTGGTGCCACAAGTGTTGGCTCTCCTTTACCACCAACTTACCTGTATGATGTATGTTTGTTTATACTCGCATTATTTATTGTCCAAATTATCTAGCCTCCCCAATTTCTACTTCAGGCGCAAAAACGGATTTCCACTGTATTCACGGAACGATAGAGGTTTCAGGTGCAATTTGTTGCTACTCATATGTCTAACAAGTGTTTGTATATTTTTCAAACTGCATGTCCGATATTTCCTGTAAACTGCGGTGAGGTCCAAAGGCCTGACGCAACGTTGCAAGTGTTCCAACTACCAGTCTCTCAGCTCGCTGGTTTCTTTTTCTTTTTCTCAATGTTAGCTTTCCTACCGATTGGTTTTTCAAGGGCGAAACCATGCAAAATCCACGTGCTGATCAATCTTATAAGCCATCTGCATCAGCCATTCTTTTGCAAGATTTGGAATACCTCCGATTTCCAGACACAGTTTAACACCCCAGCTGTCTATTCAATTTTTGATAGTAATTTAGGGCTGAACACTGCTTGAAGCCTGCGGATGCCAGACGGAAGGATTGTAACCGAGCACTTCCGCGGTGTAGATATGGTGCCCTTGGAAAGCAGTTCCCAGACGTGCATGTTCTGCAGCTCGTCCTGCAACATGTTTACCCCTTGGAACCCTTTGGCCCTTTGGGATTTTGTGTGCGATCGGTTTTAGCATGTTTTGACCCCTGCCCTGTTTGTAGCTGAGGCAAACCTCACTTCCATGTTCAGAATGGCGATTGCCGGAAGTGTGGAATCTTCAATGCTTGGTCTGATGGAAAGAAGGATGTTTGTCACGTTCTGCCACGCCAGAGCTCAGCAGAGTTGTTCGCACTTTTGGCAGGTGCAGCTGTCGTGGTCATTTTAACCTTCCTTGCTTTTGAGATTTTGCATGCTCCTTTGATGATCGTGGATGCGAAATCATATTTGGACCCAAGGCAAGCTGAAAGCAAAACAATTTTCACATTTTCCGTGCAGGGGCCGATTGTTGATCTTCCCAAAAGCCTGTCTCGATTGGTGAACCGAAGGGTGCGTTTTCGGGCAAGGGGAACAGGATTGATATGGCTAGACTATGACCAGAAGAGGTCCAACACAATCAAAGTTCGCAGTATTGCACGCAGAAAGCTTTTGCTGCAAGACACGAGTCCCCCGTTTTCTTGCGCTACGTGCAAGGGTTCTTTGCACGCTGCTGATTTTTTTTATCTGCTCGGCATGCTGACTGTGTGCATATTGTTTGTCGCAATGCTGCCTGTAATCATCAAAGCAGCAGTCATATCCGGAAACGGTGTGGGACATGTCTTCGCCCCTTTGGCCCGCAAAGAGATTTGTTTTTGTGCATAAGTGAATCTAATCAGGTGTTTTTTTTTGAGTGTTTGTTTAGTTTTGTGCATTGCCGTGATGGAAAGACACTCTGCGCCAAGGTTACTGCAATTTATGTGTCTCTTCCTCTGGTTGCTGTTGCTGCGCTGCTGCACTTCCCAATCGCGTGGCTGATCCAACGGCTATATCGTAGAACGTCATTTTCGGAGGCTTTGGATGAGTACAGGAAGCAGATCAACTGCAAGCCATTTCCAGGGCCTGATGGAACCCATCCCCGCAACCAGGGCTTGCAGGTTCTGACTTTGCGGGGCTTGTGGATGCACTTCGAGAGTTTCTCTTCTCACCAGCAACGCTTTTGTCGAGCTCGTGTGCTCACACAACTAGCTCGTTTCACATTAATGCTCGGATCTGAATGGACAGACAGAGACAAAGTATCTTCTTTCTGTTCATGTCAGCAAAGAACCGTAAGAGAAAACACATGTCCCAACTTGTTCAACTCAGGCTTTATTCTCGAGCGCAATATGCACTTTGTGGTTGCCAACATAGTGAGGCCCCTAACGCAAAGCAAAAGAGTTTCCTTTGTAAGTCTTTGGGGTGGCAGGCAGGTGGATTACTTTGTGTCACTTGGCATGCTTTTGGCAAAGTTGTTTTTGATTTGTTTTCTTCCAACGTTTGTGCACCTTTGCCAAGCCCCTCCAAGCCTCCCCTACGTTTTGTGGAAGGTCCCATTCCTGGGGCACCAGCTTTCCGCACTTCGTGCATTCCATCCAATGCCATGCGTTGTCCAAAGAGGGCCCCACTTCTTGGATTGATGCAGCATATTGGATATGTTCGTTTGCAACTTGGAGGAGAACACTAGCCCATTTTCACGGTGGTGTTTGTGTTTGAAGAATATATTATATTGGCAGTGGCACAGCGTGCTGAAACCCTATAGTTCCATAATATAAATCCGATTATTATTTTGAGTTTTGAGGATGAATCAGGGAGGTTCCACCCTCCTTTACGCACCAGACAGGCTACAAAGCTGCGTTTTTCATTTGCGAGCCTTTTGTGCCTAGTGCGATGGTGCCTATTCATTGCCTATTCATAAAAATGATTTGAGGGTGAAATGTTGTGAAATGAGAGGAAATTACTTTTGCAAAAAAAGATGGATCATCTATGCTGAGGTGCATTTAAGATAGTCAAATATTAACCAAATGTTTTGGAACTTTGATTCTTAAACTACTTTGATACAACATGTAAAAACTTCAATTCATTGGTATTTGAAGCAGTTGAAACTAGCCCTAACTTGGTTGACTATACAATAGCCAAATCCTCGTACCATCAATCAAGAGCAGCAACACACAGTGAAATTATGGTGAAATCACTCTATCAGAATAATAGATCTCATGTTTTGGTCCAGTCAAACCATTCCTTCGATTTGTTCCATTACTATAATTATGTCAAACTTTGTTTTGGAATTCTCAGGGCACATCAAATGGTCAAATCGTTTCAAATCCCATGTTCGAAGTCTTTGGATCGCAGATGCCTAGAATAACAAACGTGACTTTCTTGAAGATGGCTATACATCAGCATATGACAGCAAATCCAAGCCGAGGGCATACATACCAGATATCTATCACCCCTTTTTTCATGCAATTCAAGATATACCACTACTATCCTGTTAAAATTGTCAATGCGAAAAATTGGTTGAGCCCCACTCTGACAATCGCATTTATTGCGGTCAACTTTGATGCTTTTTGTTTTTCCAATATTTCCAATTCTCTCTCTGAAAGGGTCTGATTTATGCTGAGGACCTTTGCACGACATGATTAATGAGTAGATGGACGTTTGAGTAGTCTGGTGAATGATGTATTACATATGTTAACAGTTTGAAATGTAGCATGTATCTATTATATTTTTCAATATACATACATTGAGGTTCGGCCCGCCAAAGTGATATCACGAAAGCCAGCCGGTGGGCTTGGCTGAAGTTATTGATGCGAGGGAAGCGAGTTTAGGGGGTCCGCGTTCAGAGCGGGACAAACTGGCACAAACATGGTCATGTGGGTGGTGCTTATGGTTTGTGATCTTGCAAGTTTTCCAGGCTGACGTACCAGGTGGCAATTGGGTGACGGTGGGGTTCAATCCCCCTGGTCCGAATTTTAAGGGGGACGTGGCGCTGTGATCTTGAGATTTTTCCGAGAACGCGAACGTTGTAGGCAGCAAACAGGCTGAAGCTCTTGGTGCCGTATTTCAAGATTTTTTTAACATATATAGTTTTATGATGTTTTATGATGTTTTATGAAACATTCCCTCAAACGGTCGGGAATGCTCCCGGCTCCTCCAAAACAACCCTTTTCGAAATTATTAAAAGCATTTTCGAGCGATCCTGACTTATGTGAACCCTCCTTAAACAGCCCAAAGCATTGCCAAATGCTCGAAAAAAATATGTTCTTTGCCGATTCGAGCGAAATAAACTATAGAACGCACAAGTCACTTATGTTTATGCCATGAAAAGTAGCATGGATCACAAGAAACAAGACAGCTGAAACACAATCAGGAAAATCTGGGATCTTCTCTGGATTGTGTTTCAACCCTGATCTGAAACAGAAACAAACAAAATTGTGATTGACATTAAAAAAAGACTATGTATGCGCTGTCGAATGTGTTGAATAAAGTTTGATCGGATAAGAAGCCTCAACGCTTGCTGCACTGACAGAAGAAGGCCTAGCCTTCGAATATCACCTTCATTTTGCTGTTCGCCAGAAGTGAACATTGCAAAGAACTGGATATGACTGTTTGCGTTTGTTCTGCAGTGGTGCAACTTCAGTCAACAGTGCTTATATATTGTTGTAATAATTTCCTTTGTGCTCTTGAAGTATTTCCTTTGCCCTTATGACAGGCTTACAGCGCCATACCCTCTGGATTTGTTTTGCCGCTCATGCATGTATCTAGTCTGAGCTTTACAGCGTCTGGATCCGACATATTTGATGTTGTTGAAATTGTTGGTTTGTTTGTCCTGATAACGTTAAGTTAAGTGATAAATGGTGATAAGTGTAGAGTTTAAAGGCAAGGGCATGTACAATATATACATTTTCTTTGGTCGACTGTGTGAGTTGTGTTTGCATAAATGTCATATGTATTCGTACTGCACGTTGCGCGTTGGCTGGGCCCATTCTTTTAAGGATGTTAAAATGCCCACTCATTTATGGTACCCACTGCTTCATATAGCCATGCATTGAAGTCTTGGATGACCGGCCAAAATTGCTCAGAATAATAATGCTTGTAACAAACATTCCCAATTATCACGGTGATTGTGTGACTATCCTCCATATATTTGTCACTTATGGGTTAGCCCCTTGAAAGATTTGACTATTTGAATTTACACAATCAATTTCAACAATACCAGTTGGCTATTCAATTTTGTTAAACACACGCCGGTATGAACACAGAATTCTGTATTTCACATAAATGAAAACAGCATAAAACATCTAGAATACAAACATTACTCTGTATTAATTGGTGCTGTAAATTATTTTATGTTTGTTTTGTTCGTTTGACTTTGTCATGTCTACTGTGCAGTTTAGAGTCGTGTTATTGAAAGGTCTGACAGTTTGACCAGGAATGTGCGTGACTATCTGGTCTTATTACCATATACTTGTGCAATTTAAAGCACTAAATGGGCTGACACCCTTTTTAGGGCCATGTGCCTTGGCCTATTTTAATTACAGATGCATGTTTACTCCAAAATCAACTGTGGAATCTTCACGTGGAAGAGTTAATTGCGTAATATGATTGCATGTGTTTTGTTGCCTCTGTCGCGCCTTTGGCGGTGGGGTCCATGCTGCGGGGTTGCTGCTACAGTGGGGGGGGCCAGGGCAGACAAAGAAAAGGAAGGAAACATGTGTCCAAGAAATGGAATTAACCCATAGCAGTTTTTCGACATGATTTTATCTTGTCAAAATCGGAAAGCAGAACACCTAGCACCCCATACCAAACACCAGTTTCGAACCCCTTAAAGATTTACTTGCTGGCATCCACTTGCCTCCGAAAGCATAATTGGCACCTCCGGCACCTCCGGCACCACCAGCACCGGCATCAATTTGCCAAATTCTGCATTTTCAGCACAGCACCTTAACAGCAGTTTCTGCGGCAATTCCATGGCCACCACTTCCAGCAACCCCTTGGCTTGGGTGAAGCATGGTGAAGCAAAGTAAATGCTGAGGCCTACACACAGCAAGGTCGCACACCTGCGGTGATCCCAGGTGCCGCCCCGCTTAGGCCAACGCTATAGGCATTGGTCGACGAATAACTATTGTTCAAAGGCTTGACCAACATGATTGCTCATTTTCTTTTATGTGCTGATGTGTTTTCCTTATTTGTATTTAAGCTGTGCCATTCCGCTATGTATTTTGTTTATCTTAATTGGATGGTACCTCGCGTTAGAATTCTTTAGGTGCCCTTCTATTAGGCATTTATTTCCGTCAAAATAGTTTAGACTACATTGTATCCTGTGCAGAATCGCCCAGGCGAACAACCAGTGGAGAATTGAAGCCGAACTGGGAAGTGATCCCATGGAGAGCGCCTTTGCACTCGCCTTGACAGCGGGAATCAAGGGAGTCGCGATGGTCATGGACCAGGAAGCGCAGCCTCTCACAAGTGACCCGACCAGAGGAAGGGTAATCATAATCAAAGGAAGTTGGGAAGCAATACTTCCGAGTTACGAATGACTTTTACTTGGTGCAATTGACTATGATGAAGGGTGGTAGATCATATAACAATACATAATGTACCAATACATCACAAAAGAATAAGAAGCTATGAAATTGACCTTGAGGAAGGGTGGTAGATCATATAACAATACATAATCTAACAATACATAACAAAAGAATGAGTAGCTATGAAATTGACCTTGAGAAAGGGTGGTAGATCATTTAACAATACATAGTCTACCAATACATAACAAAAGAATAAGAAACAATGAAATTGACCTTGAGGAAGGGTGGTAGATCATATAACAATACATAATATAACAATACATCACAAAAGAATAAGAAGCAATGGAATTGACTCTGATGAAGGGTGAGTGGTGAGGAAGGGAAGTGGTGACAATGGGAAGTGATGAGGAAGGGAAGTGGTGAGGAAGGGAAGTGGTGAGGAAGGGAAGTGGTGACGAAGGGAAGTGGTGATGAAGGGGAGTCGTGAGGAAGGGAAGTGGTGATGGCGGGAAGTGGCGACGATGGGACGTGGTGAGGAAGGGAGGTGGTGAGGAAGGGAAGTGGTGACGAAGGGAGGTGGGGGCGATGGGAAGTGGTGAGGAAGGGAAGTGGTGCGGAAGGGGATGGGGACGAAGGGAAGTGGTGAGGAAGGGAGGTGGTGACGATCGGAAGTGATGAGGAAGGGAAGTGGTGACGATGGGAAGTGGTGAGGAAGGGCGGTGGCGACGATGGGAAGTGATGAGGAAGGGAAGTGGTGACGATGGGAAGTGATGAGGAAGGGAAGTGGTGACGATGGGAAGTGGTGAGGAATGGCAGCGGTGACGATGGGAAGTGATAAGGAAGTGATGAGGAAGGGACGTGCGTAATTCTATGCGTTTCTTGAATTTCTGGTTGCGGATCGCATTGGAATGGCTGCATGAATGTTGCATGGGCTATCTTGTGGGGAGGAAGCCGGAGCACGAAACCTTGTGTTTTTCCGTGTAAAGTGGCTGCAGCCGGCGATGAAAGGTACCTCGTCTGTGCGACGGGTGCGGCTGGGGTCGTTTTGTGCGCGAATCGTTCCTCCTATGTGTTTTGCAAGAAATGGTTGTTCCTGTGTGCGTAGTTCTATGCGTTTCTTGAAGCTGTGGTTGCAGATCGCATTGGAATGGCTGCATGAATGTTACATGGGCTAGTTGTGGGGAGGAAGCCGGAGCACGAAACCTTGTGTTTTTCCGTGTAAAGTGGCTGCAGCCGGCGATGAAAGGTACCTCGTCTGTGCGACGGGTGCGGCTGGGGTCGTTTTGTGCGCGAATCGTTCCTCCTATGTGTTTTGCAAGAAATGGTTGTTCCTGTGTACGTCATTCTATGCGTTTCTTGAAGCTGTGGTTGCAGATCGCATTGGAATGGCTGCATGAATGTTACATGGGCTAGGTTGTGGGGAGGAAGCCGGAGCACGAAACCTTGCGTTTTTCCGTGTAAAGTGGCAGCAGCCGGCGATGAAAGGTACCTCGTCTGTGCGACGGGTGCGGCTGGGGTCGTTTTGTGCGCGAATCGTTCCTCCTATGTGTTTTGCAAGAAATGGTTGTTCCTGTGTGCGTAGTTCAGATCGCATTGGAATGGTTGCATGAATGTTACATGGGCTATGTTGTGGGGAGGAAGCCGGAGCACGAAACCTTGTGTTTTTCCGTGTAAAGTGACTGCAGCCGGCGATGAATTGTACCTCGTCTGTGCGACGGGTGCGGCTGGGGTCGGTTTGTGCGCGAATCGTTCCTCCTATGTGTTTTGCAAGAAATGGTTGTTCCTGTGTACGACATTCTATGCGTTTCTTGAAGCTGTGGTTGCAGATCGCATTGGAATGGGTGCATGAATGTTACATGGGCTATGTTGTGGGGATGAAGCCGGAGCACGAAACCTTGTGTTTTTCCGTGTAAAGTGGCTGCAGCCGGCGATGAAAGGTACCTCGTCTGTGCGACGGGTGCGGCTGGGGTCGTTTTGTGCGCGAATCGTTCCTCCTATGTGTTTTGCAAGAAATGGTTGTTCCTGCGTGCGTAGTTCTATGCGTTTCTTGAAGTGCTGGTTGCAGATCGCATTGGAATGGTTGCATGAATGTTACATGGGCTATGTTGTGGGGAGGAAGCCGGAGCACGAAACCTTGTGTTTTTCCGTGTAAAGTGGCTGCAGCCGGCGATGAAAGGTACCTCGTCTGTGCGACGGGTGCGGCTGGGGTCGTTTTGTGCGCGAATCGTTCCTCCTATGTGTTTTGCAAGAAATGGTTGTTCCTGTGTGCGTAGTTCTATGCGTTTCTTGAAGCTGTGGTTGCAGATCGCATTGGAATGGGTGCATGAATGTTACATGGGCTATGTTGTGGGGAGGAAGCCGGAGCACGAAACCTTGTGTTTTTCCGTGTAAAGTGGCTGCAGCCGGCGATGAAAGGTACCTCGTCTGTGCGACGGGTGCGGCTGGGGTCGTTTTGTGCGCGAATCGTTCCTCCTATGTGTTTTGCAAGAAATGGTTGTTCCTGTGTGTGTAGTTCTATGCGTTTCTTGAAGCGCTGGTGGCAGATCGCATTGGAATGGTTGCATGAATGTTACATGGGCTATGTTGTGGGGAGGAAGCCGGAGCACGAAACCTTGTGTTTTTCCGTGTAAAGTGGCTGCAGCCGGCGATGAAAGGTACCTCGTCTGTGCGACGGGTGCGGCTGGGGTCGTTTTGTGCGCGAATCGTTCCTCCTATGTGTTTTGCAAGAAATGGTTGTTCCTGTGTGCGTAGTTCTATGCGTTTCTTGAAGCGCTGGTTGCAGATCGCATTGGAATGGGTGCATGAATGTTACATGGGCTATGTTGTGGGGAGGAAGCCGGAGCACGAAACCTTGTGTTTTTCCGTGTAAAGTGGCTGCAGCCGGCGATGAAAGGTACCTCGTCTGTGCGACGGGTGCGGCTGGGGTCGTTTTGTGCGCGAATCGTTCCTCCTATGTGTTTTGCAAGAAATGGTTGTTCCTGTGTACGTAATTCTATGCGTTTCTTGAAGCTGTGGTTGCAGATCGCATTGGAATTGGCTGCATGAATGTTACATGGGCTAGGTTGTGGGGAGGAAGCCGGAGCACGAAACCTTATGTTTTTCCGTGTAAAGTGGCTGCAGCCGGTGATGAAAGGTACCTCGTCTGTGCGACGGGTGCGGCTGGGGTCGTTTTGTGCGCGAATCGTGCCTCCTATGTGTTTTGCAAGAAATGGTTGTTCCTGTGTACGTCATTCTATGCGTTTCTTGAAGCGCTGGTTGCAGATCGCATTGGAATTGTTGCGTCAAGGTTACTTGGTGCAGCGGCTGCATGCGTAATACTATTGTCTTTTGCAGCTGAAGAGCGTAAATCGTATTGGAATGCATGCATCAAGGTTGTCAGCAGATTTTCTCCATTTTGGCGCTCGTGATTTTCCTTTTAAAAATCATTTTTAAAAGTGCTTCAAAATCGTCTTTTTTTCGCTTTGGCGTCGAGATCCGGTTTTGGAGCTGCAGTTTCCGACGCCGTTGCGTGTAATTCTATTGTGTTTTGCAACTCAGTCTCTGCAGATCGCATTGTAATGGCTGCGTCAAGGTTGCTGCGTGCTGTGGCTGCATGCGTAATACTATTGTCTTTTGCAGCTGGATCTCGTAAATTGTATTGGAGTGGCTGCATGAAGGCTGCGAAATCGATTTGTCAGCAGATTTTCTCCATTTTGGCGCTCGTGATTTTCCTTTTAAAAATCCTTTTAAAAAGTGCTGCAAAATCGTCTTTTTTTCGCTTTGGCATCGAGATCCGGTTTTGGAGCTGCAGTTTCCGACGCCGTTGCGCGTAGTTCTATTGTGTTTTGCAACTCAGTCTCTGCAGATCGCATTGTAATGGCTGCGTCAAGGTTCCTTCGTGCTGCGGCTGCACGCGTAATACTATTGTCTTTTGCAGCTTGATCTCGTAAATCGTATTGGAGTGGCTGCACCAAGGCTGCGACAGTGATTAGTAGTAGTACTGGGAAGTGATTCCTGAAAGCTTAGACGACATATGAGAAGAGATGAGATGAGAAGAGATCAGCTGGGATAAGGTGAGAAGAGCTCAGCTGAGATGAAGTGTGGAGTGTGAAGAGTGCAGTGTGAAGTGTGGATTGTGAAGAGTGCAGTGTGAAGTGTGAAGTTTGGAGTGTGAAGGAAGCAGTGAGAAGTGTGAAGTGTGGACTGTGAAGTGTGAAGTGTGGAGTGTGAAGTGTGAAGTTTGGAGTGCGAAGAGTGCAGTGTGAAGTGTGGAGTGTGAAGTGTGGAGTGTGAAGTGTGAAGTGTGGAGTCTTAAGAGTACAGTGTGAAGTGAAGTGTTGACTGCGAAGGGTGCAGTGTGAAGAGTGCAGTGTGAAGTGTGGAGTGCGAAGTGTGTAGTGTGAAGACTGCACTGAGAAGTGCGAAGTGCGAAGTGGAGCTTCAAAAGTGACATGTGAAACAAGACACCAGTTTCGCAGAGTGCACGCACGCACCGGCTTGGCTGGCGCACGGCGCATGCAAGTTCTATAGATGAGAAAGGTCTCATATATATCTTTAAGGCAACTTCCGCCCCGCCTCGTGCGGGTACTACTGGTAAGCAATCATTCTTTCAATTGTTTTTTTGGTCTCGGTTTGTTCTGATTTTATGTATGGTTGCTATTGCCTTTGCTTTTGCTTCTTTTCCTGCTTATTTGTTTCTTCGTTTCGCTTTTCTGTTTCTTCGTTTGTCTGCTTCTCTGCTGCTCCGCTTCTCTGTTTTTTGTATTTCAATTGTTTTTTGTTTCTCTGCTTTTCTGCTAGGTAGCAGTAAGTCAACCCTAAATAAACCTTAAACGGCCTTGAGCCAACCAAAAACTAATCCCCAACCGACCTTAAATAGAAACTTAAACCAACCTTCAGGAAACCCCAAACCAACCTTCAGTAACCTTAAACCCAGCTAATCAAATCCGAAACCAAACGTAG